TCTTGATAGAGTTCAAACATGTCTATATACTGATTTTTGAGTGATGATTTATTTTCTACCTTGCAACCCGTTTCCCTCAAGTTGTGAGCCTCTCGTTACTCTATCGCTATATCCATGACGTATATTTTGATGAGTTACATTTCTTGGTCCCACCAGACCTGACCTTTACAACCATGCCATACCATGTACACAAGGATGAATCATCTCCCATTTCCTTCATATTCCATTATTAAGTTCCACTCAGAGAGCTGCCTCTCAAGAACTACTGCTTTGTGAAACAATCACTACAATCTCTTCAAGTCTCAGGTTAACTGTTATCTTTCCTGTATAACCCCATGAATTTCATTTCTTACAATTTCTTATGCTCATACAACACCATACAGAAGCCCTCTACTTTGAGTGGCTCTTGCACTCTGTATTAGGTGATCATTAATATAAAAATTAAAATCGAGTTTTACTAGGATTCATGATAGCATTTTGATTTTATGAGATGTATTTTAAGAAAATCTATGACATTTGCTAATCTTGATCTGTTGCTATGACCTTTTAAAGTTCTGAAATTGTTGATAAATGGTTTAGATTTTCTTAAATATGCAAATCCTTTTCTATGACTAAATATGCCAGTCTGTGTTGAAGCCTGTAAGTGTTATCCTCCATTTGTTTTATCCAAAACTGGGAGGACATGAGCAACATTTTCTGTTTTACTTTGTAAAAACTTAAAAAACAAACAAACAATTGCATGCCTATATCACATACATTTCAAGAGTGCTTACCCAAGTTAGGTAGTTTGTTGACTTTTTGTAAGGTAAATTGTCAATAAAAAAAAAAAAAAACAATCTCCTTGTTCTTTAGAAATTGAGGTTATGCTCTGATAATAGCAAGAAGAGAAAAAAGTTTTCACTCAAGTCTTAACTCAAGAAAATAGAAACAAATCTAACTAAAAAGCAAAAGAAGGCAGAATTTCTAATATATCCATTACCCAATGTGGGTTAGAGCAGCATCCACAACTTGTGAACTTGTTATACTGGAACACACCTATTCTATTGTTAATAGACTCTCCCACCTATAATAAGTAGCAGTCACCAGTGGCTCAGTGAGTTGGTGAGTCAGTCGATGCTGGATGACAGTTAGTCGGATATTAAAGTATCAGCCACCACAACTAGATTGCTGCGTCATTAACTATTATATCAAGTTCCTAACGTTTTGTACGTCGAACCTTTTTAGGACCGACTTAGTGAAATACAAGCCTTCACTGTGAAACTACTCTATAACAACTTGGTGACTAGGATTCATTCTCATACGGAGGAAGAGAAACTTTTCGTACTCTACAAAAAAACTAGATATCAATTGAGATTTTAAGGCACAGGGGAATTATAGCCAAGAGGAAAATAATAACCATTTACTGAAGTATTCACTGAATTTAGTGCATTAAATGACAAATCTATGATGAATTGGAAACCAGTTTCGTTTTATAAGTTACCTTCGTGATTTTAGTTAGAGTAGTGTAATGTATGAATTAACTCCCTTGTTGACTAACCCTATAATTTGTGTGCTAGGAAAGAGAATATTTTTAGTTTTTCATTTCCTCATTATAGGCATTATCATATGCACCTTAATACACAAATGGTACATAATAGCTGAAAGAAAAAAAATGACAAACACACATTGTTTTCACAGAGATTTTAATATCAGCATATACATACTTATCATTAATTTGTCTCATACAGAGAAACCATATAATATGTATACAACAAGCAGTATGAAAGTAGTGAACACACACACACACACACAGAGAGAGAGAGAGAGTAATATTTCAATATGTAATATTTCCCAACAGCAAAAATGGCATGTTAGTGGTGTCCTTTATGTGCCATGTGAGTTCCCCTGAGTTTGCAGCTTATATAGCAACTGGTGTGAGTAGCCACATCTTACCTCAGGGCATGATAAATAGCAACTGGCCTGATTCGACATGCCTTGCCTCCAGGCGTGATAAATAGCAACTGTATGACTTGACATCACTTACTGGCTCTCACGTGTCCTTGTGATTTTTGTCTCACCCAAAGTGAGATAAATGTCCCTTTTCATCCCTACACCTCTATAAAATCCAGCTCTTGAGAAATGTATTGCAAAAATTTATAGTCTTATGTGCTGTGTTCCTTCAGGGCGTGAGCTATCATTGCCCTCCACATCTTCCTGTCCCTTGTAGCTCTTAATAAGTTTTGTCTTTTTGCTATCTCTCTTTACTAAAGCTCATCAAGTACTGCTGTTTTGTACTGCTTTCTTCAGTTCCTCTCTCCCTCAATCTGTCCTGTGGGTACCAGGTTCTCCAAGCCCTTCTTCTTTATTACATGTCCCAGAAATTTCAACTGCCTCTTCCTGGTGCTAAGTTTCTCTTTTTTGTTTAAAGATCAATTGATTTACATAATACCTCCAGAAACTACAAATGCATCAATGTTAATAGATTAAAAAAAAAAGAAAATTTGTTAAGTGTTTTGCTGTTCAGATCAGCATACCCATCTTTTTTGTTAGACTCATAACCTTTCGATTGCTGTACCTTCATCCTTCTTCAGCTGAAATGTTCTATGTATAACAATTAAGATGGTCTGAAAAATGGATCATATAGTGATAATTCTTAATCTAAAACAATTCTGATAGTAAAATATCCTCCTTACTAAACCAGGTATTACTTGTATAAGAGGCTCTCAACTAAATCCATTAAAAAAAAAAAAAAAAAAGGTAATAAATTATTAAAAAATGTATTGATATAATAAGTCTATGTTTGTATGTAATCCTTAAGTAACTAAAACTGCATTGTATCCAGAGATATTGAATGAAGGTACTGTCTAAAATTTATCACTTGAAGAAAACAAAAAAAAATAAAAATGAAAAATTCCATAGGATTTCCTTTTGGAATGAGCTACAAAACAAAAAGAAAAAAAATGTTTCAAGGGAGACAACCGTTGAATGTTTATTATAAACTACTATCCCTTATTTAATAATTTGCATATGAGTAAAATATCTGACTGCCGCACTTGGCTACTTGCTGTGTCATCCCAATGCACAGAAGTTGTCATAATGTGTAAAAAATCAAATTCAAACATAATCATTTATCTATCATAATTTTCTGTTCTAGGTTGACTCAACAAGGTTGTTTAGTATTCAAGTACTTTTAGATAAATTTGGTTTTTATCGTCTTTGATGCCATCATGTGGAGTCATGAAATATTTGGGCAAAACATTTGTATTTTATTGCCAACAAAAATTTGATCAACTCTTTTCTTATCCTTACTGCATAAAAAAACAAAAATGAACTTAGGTTTCTATAATTTATACAAAATTAGGATGAAAAGCTAAACATTGCAGATTATTTACTGAATTTAGTTCTGCATGTGCAGACAAAAAGAAAGAAAAAAATTAACCAAATTCATAAGATCACTCAAATTATTAATCAATTCGAATATTTAAAATTTATCAATGTATGTAATTAAATTAGTTTTCTTTTTATTTGATGGACTGTTTTATCAATTTCACTCTACAGAAATATCATTTTAGTTCATTAAAAATTGTTTCTAATAGTTTAAATAGTGGTTTTAAATAGTAAAATAAAAACGGATATAATCAAAAATGAACATGAGGGAAACAACTAACATAGTTAGCAATACAAAATGAAAAGAGAGACTGAAAAAAAAATGAGGCAATTGGTTATAACTCCTCACTTGTCAGAACTTGATTGAGGAAGTTAAGGAATATTGGGCACATGAAATTAAAAATAAAACCAAAAAAAAAACAAAGTAAACAGAATGTACTCGTATGAATAATATATTGGCATGGGTATATCTATAAACTGATGGTCCTAATAACCAATCCTTTTGTTTGCATAATTGTGTAGAGTTGTGAAATAGTTTGTTGAAAAATTTCTATCATTAAATTTTGCCAGTAAAAAATTTAATTAAATCTGCAGTAATATTTCTCTTGTTTTCACTGCACAAAATATTTTGTATTTTCTGTAATTTTTAAACACGAATAAAAAGTTAAACTCTTCTAATTATGAACTAAATTTAGTGCTGCATGTACACACACAAAAAATTAAACCAAATTTCCAATGCCTCTATAAAAAATGTTTTATATATCTTTTTTAATTAAATCATATACAGGGTACGATGGGTAAATTGTCGCCATTTTACATTTTCAATTTTTCGCATGTGTGTTGTTTTTTTTTTTCATTTTGTCAACTGCACAGTATAGTAGGGTCAGTTGGGCACCATCTGTGAGAAAAAGAGCACCATGACATAATTCACTCTGCCTGAAATTTAGAAACGGCACACTGGAAGTTTCAATACAATAATTTCAGAGTGTATGGGTGTCAATCTGAGCAGAGTGCAGAGAATTCAGAAAGAGTTGGATGAGTCTAATGGTGATTACAAAGGTGTTTGGAGTGATCACAGGTGATGGTGACATTATGCCTTTATTCATCTTCCCACAGGGCCTCAGACTCAACACAGAGGTCTACAGGAGGTAGTGCTTCTCTAGGTCAAGGAGGTGGCTGCTGGGAGATACTGTCTGGCAAAAGGATTATGCACCATACCACACAAGCCGGAAAACCCGGTCATGGCTGTTAGGCAATTTCTGTGACTACATCACTCCTTACAGCTGACTACCTAACTCCGTAGACTGCAACCTCTTTGATTTATTATGTGTAGGGCACAATTAAGCGGGAGACTAACAAAACTTCTTGTAACACCAAAGATGAACTGAAAGCAAGGATTATGACAGCATACACCAACTTAAACAAGGAGACCATCCAGAAGGTTGTGTCTGCAGCCAATGGCAATTTTATTGAATAAATTTACTCTTTAGTATTTCAAAATATATTTGTGTCATTTTGGTAAATATATCTGTTAAAATAAGATGTCAGTGTTAATTTTTGCGTAATTTAGAGGACAATTTATCCATTATGCCCTGTATGTTTTTTTTGTTTATGTGTAAAACAGTTTTGTACACATACGGCCATATCATGTTGAAACACAGGTTCCCATATGATCGCTGAAGTTAAGCAACATCAAGCCTGGTCAGTACTTAGATTGGTGACTGCTTTGGAATACCAGGTGCTGTAATTGATAATGGCTTGGAATTGTTAATTGAAGAGCCAAGTTGCAATTCCAGTTGGGTTCATAGATTCTGTTGCACACACAGACTCTTGGAAAAGGTATGAATCCACCTCTTCTACCCCTGCTCTGGGTTAATCAGTAAGAATTGTATCATTAAATCATTGTCTCAAAGAGAAAAAATTCTTACCATCTAAAAATAATTTCTGGCTTTAAATAAGTTGCAAAGGGTTGATAAGCTGTAAAAAATGAATTGATCAATAAAACAATTTTGTCATGGATAGTATTCTTTTAATACATGAGTCTGTGTGTGTGAATTAAGATACAGTGTGTTATGTAGGAAGAATGAAAACAAAACAATTCTATGTGGTGGACACAATAGTTCATCAATCAAAAATGATGTATTAATTCAACACAGCTCTTTGATTGGAAATTGTGTTTATAGTATGATTCATAGAAATGTTGATATAATAAAATAATAATTTGAATTTCCTGATGACTCTTGCATTGATATATAGCAAATGTGCTGATGACTCAAATGGAATCTTTCCAGAGATTTGTCGTTTAAAAACAAGACCTTTGGTTTGCTTGATTTAAGGTGTGTCTTCAGTGGTTTCTGTCGCCTTCAAAGTATTCCCCTTGTGAAGCTGTCCACTTTGTGAGATGATGGTTCTATTTCTGGAAATCCAATACTGGAATAGCAAAAGATGCCTTCCAAAATTGAAACCAAATTTCTGATCCCTTTTATGAAATGCTGTAAATCTTGTTGAAATAGCAAAAGATGTCTTCTAAAATTTTAACCAAGTTTCTCATACCCTCTACAAAATGCATCAATCTTGTTAGAAATCCAATGAAATAACAAAAATATGTCTCCTAAAGTTCTAACCAAATTTCTGATCTCCCCTGTGAAATGCTGTAAATCTTGTTAGAATTAGAAATCCAATGGAATAGCAAAAGATGCCTTCCAAAATTGAAACCAAATTTCTGATCCCCTCTATGAAACGCTGTAAATCTTGTTGAAATAGCAAAATATGTCTTCTACAATTTTAATCAAGTTTCTCATGACCCCTACAAAATGCCATAAATCTTGTTTTCCCCGCATCTCAACACTTTTTTCTTGTTTTTATAGTTTTTATTAAATTATTTTTTTTTTTTTTTCATGTCTAAAACAGATTTGTGGTGGATTGTTTTTTTCTTATCCGTCGGTCTCTGTGTGTGAATTAAAATGCAAAATGTTTGTATTGTTGTATTCCAAAATTTCTCTTGCTCAAGAGACCAAGATCATCATGGCTTTTCTTTTCACTCTTGCTCCAATTTTTTTCTTTTTATAAATTTATTCCTTATCTTCATTTCTTGCTTGTTTTTCTGTTTTTTTAGGAGCAAGAAGAGGAGTTAAATAACTTGCGTTCAGAGTTGAATCGCTTGCGGGATGAAGAGACCAACTTGGAAGCAGAAGTTGCTGAGAAGAAGGCATATTTAGAGACATTGATAAAAAATCAAAAAGATACCCAGTTACAGATAAGCCAGGTAAGAATAGTTTTTTTGGTTTTCTTCCTTCTCTTCCTTAGCACTGTGAGCCTTGAATCCACCTTCTTTTTGCTATGTTAGTTGGATGATGATCTAGACATATCTGTGAATAGTCTGCTTCTTCTTCTTCCTATTTTACTAGTAAAAGACTTTCCTTTTTCAAATTTGTGATTTTGTTTTGTTTCGTTCTTACTCTCACATCTTCATTCCTTGTCTTTCATATTGATGCCGCCTGCAGAAGATCTTGCCATTTCTTTTACTTAATCACTTTTTATCATTATGAAATAAAAGCAAATTGTATAAAAGATTACAATTTCATTGCATGTACAAATCTATGTACTTACCTGAACATCAGTGAAAAGTTCATTTCACCTTTTTATTCTCATTCTCTCTTGTCTGAAAGGAAATACTTTTATTTTTTAAGAAATGAAAAATAATTACTTTTTTCTTGGATTATATACTATAGTCTTCAAAATACCTTTTTCTAAATTTTTGGCAGTAAGTTTTTATATAACCATTATTAAAAAAAAGAAACAAATTAATTTTAAAAGTAACATATCATAAATTCTTGTATAAGATTAATATGATTACTATTTTTGATTTCTACTATGTTCCAGTGAATAAATTAGAATTAGTTCTGTTATAAGTGCATCAGTCTAGTAGTTTGGAAAATCAGAGACTGAAACTGGGGATAATGTTTCAATCATAGCTGCCATTGAACTGTGAATTTTTTTTTTTTTTTTTAATCATTTTACCCCAAGAAGGGCAATAAAGCTACTAAGATGCAAGTGGTTATATAGTGTGAAGGAATATGAGAAAAAGAAAACATTAAGTCAAGAGAACAATAAAAGAACTGGAATTAAGAAGACAAAACAATGATTAATATTGATATTGCATTTATATTTTTGGACATCAAATTTGACTGGAAAGTAAGAAGTCAAGAGAGGGTTCCACAAGGGAGAATTGCCAGAGAAGAAACTGTTAGCATAGAGCTTTTAGGTCCATCTAACCATTTCAACTGCAAAATGATGAAACCTTGCCACTAGTCTAGTATTATGCTTAAATTTGTAATATCCATGTATTAAAGAAGAAAGCTCATCAGAACAAGTTTTAAAAGAGAAACAACATGGACTTAAAATTGGTTATGGTAATATTAACTATTTATACAGTGTAACCTGGATATAAGAGAGTTGTCAGGACTGGAGAAGAAGTCTCTTATATCCGGGTTTGGTCTATTTTATATACATTAACACAGGCTCTAATTTGGGACCAGAGAAAATCTCTCTTATATCCGGGTTTCTCTTATATCCGGGTTTGGTCTATTTTATATACATTAACACAGGCTTTAATTTGGGACCAGAGAAGAAGTCTCTTATATCCGGGTTTCTCTTATATCTGGGTTGGGTCTATTTTATATACATTAACACAGGCTCTAATTTGGGACCAGAGAAAATCTCTCTTATATCTGGGTTGGGTCTATTTTATATACATTAACACAGGCTCTAATTTGGGATCAGAGAAAATCTCTCTTATATCCGGGTTTGGTCTATTTTATATACATTAACACAGGCTCTAATTTGGAACCAGAGAAAATCTCTCTTATATCCGGGTTTGGTCTATTTTATATACATTAACACAGGCTCTAATTTGGGACCAGAGAAAAAAATCTTTATATCCGGTTTGGTCTATTTTATATACATTAACACAGGTTCTAATTTGGGACCAGAGAAAATCTCTCTTATATCCGGGTTTGGTCTATTTTATATATATTAACACATTCTCTAATTTGGGACCAGAGAAAATCTCTCTTATATCCGGGTCACACTGTATATAAGGAGACATTTAGGATTCATCGACTGAGTAGCCAGCATTACTGTGAGTTAAATTTATGAAATTTTTCTCTTAAAACTATTTTTCAGGAAAATAGGTTTCTCAAGACCAGCTGTTATTACTCTTTGCAGTATTGATAGGAGTTTCCTTCTTAACCTTTTGTTTGAAGTAGTGTGGAATGTCAACATCTTGATTATGTTATTTCCTCATCAAGTTACATGTACTATCCGTTTTAGTTTTTGCTACTGTTGAAAGTCTTCAAGTGATGTGGTTTCTGCTATCTGGTACAGTCCTTTGTGATTCTTCAAAGAAAGATGATCTTTGCCAAAACATACAGGCTTCACTTGCTCAAAGCCATTTTTAAGCATTGATCTGAGAAAGTGGTTGCATGCCGCACACAGTTATTTCTGAACCGGTTTGACATCATGCTCGACATCTATATGAAAATCTTGATCTAACTATCAGATATTTTCATAGACAAGCTCTTACACCAGTCAAGGATAATGGCTGCAAAAATAGTTGCTGCATACAGCTGTTAAATACATCCTTCTTGTTTAGTTCCACGAAAGTTCATAACTTAGCTTAGTTTACTATCCAAAACATAGAGAAAGCAATTTCTAAAGAATGAATTTTTATTTATTTTTTTCAACATATTTTTATTACCTTAAATATTATTTTTTGAGTAGACATTCTGTTTATTTTAAACAGTATTTTATTTTGTCTACCAGCCTGAATATTTAATAATTGTTTTTAAAGAAAAATGCATCCTACTGCAGGATTTGAACCTGCGCCCTTCATTTGTAACCAACTCGGCTATGAAGAGGGACATGCTTAAGCAAGTTTGTTGTATACTGCATTTATGCACCACTCATTTGGGTTGATTTCCAAAAGTCCATAACTATGCACTTTTCATATCTAAAACCTAAACAAAGCAATTTCTAAAGAAACAATGGGTTTTTATTTATTAATCCAACATATTTTTATTATCTGAAACATTATTTTTAGTGGATACCCATATTTGAGTAGACGCTCTGTTTATTTTTAACAGTATTTTATTACAGGCTTGAATATTTGAGAAATATTATTAAAGAAAAATGTACCTTAAGATTTCTCAAATGTTGAGGCTGGTAGACAAAATGAAATAATGTTTAAAATAAATGAAACGTCAACTTGAATAGGTTATCCACTACAAATAATAAATAGAAAAGAAAATAATGATATAATCAAGCAATTAGTTTTCCACACTACCAAAAACAAAAGGTTAGGAAGGAAATCCCAATCAGTATTAGAAAGACCAGGAACACATTAGTGGACTTGAAGTATAATTTCTTGAAAAACTGTTTTAAGAAAAAGATTTGATAAATTTCAACCAAAGACTAAATAGTTACACAATAAATGGCAAATGTTTTTAGTAGAGAAACAGTTAATCTTATCATTATTATAATGTTTGAATGGCATTAATATTTTTATGTGCCACAAAGCAAACATTAAAATAACCAGCAAGGATAGAATTGGATATTGCCTGTTGGGTTTCATTCTTGCTATCAGGAGTGTTAATATTCTGATGCAGTTACGTAATATTGTTTATTTCCAACTATTAAAATTATCTGAACTTGAGTCATATTCTTAAATACCCTCGTCATATGTAGACTTTCATGTGGATGTCATGCATGGTATCCAACTTGATCATTGTTTGTTTAGACTATCATCTACATACAACTATTTTCAATGATTAAAAATGACTCCAAATGAATGAATCCTTTTGAGAGTCTTTTATTATAGTTTGGCGCTACAAAATCACGGACAAAAAGCTTTACCAAATAACAAGAAAAATCGCATCACTTTAAAAATTCCAGTGACAACAAAAATGGGTGGCACATGTAATTCGAAGAGAAAATAATATAATCAAGATGTGAACTTTCCACACTACCTTAAACAAAAGGTTAGAAAAGAAACTCCCATCAATAATAGAAAGAGCTATAATATTTATTGGATTTGGGGATTCTAAATTTTAAAAATTTCTAAAAAAAAAATAAATAAATAAAAAAAAAAAAATTAGAATTATATATTTATAAAAAAAGAACTAGAATTAATTATAGTTTCATAAAAAAGATGTATGAATTATAGTTTTATAAAAAAAATGAATTAATTATAGGTTTATAAAAAGAAATCTGATATATATTATCAATTTCCCAAAAGAAAAAAATGTCGTCTGGTATTATAAGTTTCTAACTATGAACCATTAATACCCACCAGCCCCAGAAATGGTTTTGTTGAAATTGTAAAAAGTAAAAAAAATAGATAAAGAGGGACTACTTTATATCTAATTTTTTTGTTTTTAAATATATGATAAAGGTATTTTCTTTGCATAGTGTAATCCAGGATCTTAAACATTTTTTTTAATAACAACTTCAATATGCTTCATTCAAAAGAAAAAAAAAGAACAATTTTTTGCCTTACTGTACACTGTTTTCAGCCAGTGTCTCCCACTTATTTAACTTTTTACCTTGCTACTGCCCTCAACCCTTCCATTCTAATGATATGCACTCTGACTACTGTCTGTTCACTCCCCATGGCCATCTACACCACCACCACCACCACTACCAGACCAAGAGCCGTCTTCAGAATCTTCAGGACCAGCAGCGGGGGGTCGGCCAAAGCATTGCCAACTTCAACTCGCAGGTCAATGGAGAATTTGCGTCCTTCCCTTCAGCAGCTGGTGAGGCTGACCAGTTCAGCAACTTGGCTACTGTGAGTATGCATGTTACCCTCAAAGTGTTACTGGCCTCAGACAGCAACTTTCTCAATCTGTGTCCTTTCCTTGTGAACAAGATCTTAAGATATTTTAAAGAGAAATATACATTGATATTTTGGTTCTAATCTTATGAGATGATTTTTATCTGGAATTATTTCTTTTAAGGACATTGATCTTATTTTCTTTTAAATATTTCTTGAATAGCCTTCAAATAATGACAAGGAATCTGTTCTTTGTTATCATAAGTGGTTAATTCTAATTTCTTAGTCTAATAAATTGACTTGATATAATTATGCCCAGATTTTCATAACATTTAGCATGATTTTCTTCTTTTTTTCCTTTTTTTTATAAATATTACTGAATAATCTATAGGAGATGGAAAATGTTATTATGGCTTTAAAAATGCCGTTTCCCTACAAAGAAATATCTGACATTCCTTGACTGAGCAGCCAGTACTGCTTTCAGTTGTAATTGATAAAATCTTTCTCTTAAAAGAATTTTTTGGGAAAACAAGTTTCTCAAGTTCAATTGCTGTTATCACCCTTTCCAGTATTAATGGGAGTTTCCTTTGTAACCTTTTATTTGAAGTTGTGTGACATATCAACATCTTGATTGTCATTATTTTCTTTTCATGTTACATGTGCTATCCATTTTAATTGTTGCTGCTGTTGGTAGTCCTCAAGTGATGTGGTTTCTATTATTTGGTACAGTTCTTTTTTTTTTTTTTTTTTTTTTTTTTGCTATTTTAAAACAACAGTGGGCTTTGCCAAGACCCTCCAAGCTTCATTCACTCAAAGCTTTTTTTCACCATTGATCTTAGAAAGTGTTTGTATACAGCTAACAGTTTAGATATTTCTGAATGGGTTTGGTGCTATGCATGACATCCACATGAGAGACTCAATCTGATGAGGCTATTTAAAAACATGACTTGAATTTTCAGGTTGATGTTTTAGTTTTGTAGCAATTTGTAGTGTTGGGCAAAACTGCCTCTGGCACAGCCTAGTCTGTGTTCGTTTTCTTTTCCTCTTAATTTGTTATAACGGATTCATACGCTAAGGTATCTGAAGTGTTTAGTATTTCTGAATTTTTATGAAAGATTCAGGGTAGGTGCCATCACTGCTTTCACTCCAATTCCAAATCATAGTTTCTGTTTTGAAAAGGTTTATCCAGATTTACATTTCTAGGAACACTTGATAGATGTTTATTTTCTGTTCAGGATCATTATGTCCCAATGAATACATATTTCATCAGCATAGCACCCCCCCCCATAAGTCATCATTTGTACTGGACATTTTTAAAAGTATTTATTCACGCATGCAGGCATGGTGGGGAAAATAGGATATCATCTCAAATTGAAGAATCAGAATTCCAGTCATGTTCATTCCGTTCACTTAGCTGGGAAAGATATGAATCCATCTCTTCTCTCCCACCCCAGCTATGGATAAATAACATTACAGACTGGGTCCTATAGCCTTGGGTGACAACCAGTCTAGGAAAAGGAGAACTCTAAATTCAAAACCTGAATGGTCAGTGACTAACTGGCTCCCCAATCTGGTGAGGAGGGTAAGTGGAACCCCAGCAACACAAAAACCAAAATCTGTTAAAGAGTGAATGGACTCTCCTCAACAATGGCCATCCACCCCATGGGTTAAATAGCCTCATCAGTCTGCAATTGGCCAATTGTGGTAAGTATGACTAAACTCCTGAAGACATGGTCAATCGGTGGGAAAGGTTTCCACCAACAGGAGTGAGTAGGCTCTGGAAGTGAATATTCACATAATATGTACGAAAGAGAGGAAATAGCAAGGATAAGAAAAAAATAAATATTACTCACTGTAAAGTGATGAACTGAAAAAATATAACAAAAAAAGAAACAAAAACGTTCCTTGCTCTTCAGAGCTCAATTAAGGACAAAAAATGTGTGCATAACTACTAAAAAAAAAAGGAAAGTAAAAAGACTACCAAAAAATCAGCAATATAAACCACAAGCAGCAACCATTCTGTCTGCTTACAGAGGGAAGGTTGCTTAGACTTAATATACCGTGTAACAAACACACAGAAGATTATCCAAATTTGCTCTGCTGACTACTGTGAAGAAATATTGGATAAAAAACCGGGCATTAATTGGGTTATTTATTATGTGTTCTGCAACTTCAGAACTCCATGTATTGACAAGAGCATGCAAATTTTCCTACTGTCCATTATGGATAAATACTTTTAAAATGTCTGTTTTTAAAGTCATGATAAATATAAACATTTATTACCAGTAATCTAGGAATAAGTTACTGATACATTAGTGTTTATAAAATGCTGTGCGCTATACATTTTTCAGTAAGATGTTTATGATTATCAACAATTCTTATGCCTGATGCATTGTCAAAGTTTTCTCAATAGAGAAGATAGTTTATAAAAAAAACAATTGTTGATATTAGCAAAAGTTAAACAACTTATTAATTACATTTCTGTTTTAAAAATGGATTTTTATAAACGTTTCACAAAAGTATTGTAATGTTGGATTCTTAAGATTGCTCATACCCAAATATACCGTTCTGGATGACCACTGAACCTGAAATAGATCTCACACTGAGAGAATTTAAAAAAACAATCAATACATAAAAGTGAATATCAAAATAAATTTGTAGAATTAAGAGATACATAATACCACTGCTATAGAGGAATTTATACAAATGGATCAAAGTTTTGAATAAAACAGGAGCTCCTGCCACAGACGGTTGTAACAAATGAGACTGCATGATGATACATCAATTTATATAGCGGAACTGCCAGCACTGAGTGAGGACAGCTTTTGATCTTATAAGGAGCTCAGTGAACAGTAGTTTGTGATGTTTATAGACTCCCTATCCTCTCTGGTTGCCCTAAAAAAACAAAAAAACAACTAACTACCCTTACATTGCAAACATGCTGGAGATGAAATTAGAAAATTTATTGCGGATAATAAGCCACGTTGGCATAAAGGGTCATGAGTAAGTTGAACTATTCCGTATACAGATTTTACAGAGAAAATTAATGACTTCATAAAGAGCAAATGGCAAGCAATATGGAACACATTCCAAGAAAACAAACTTTATGAACACATTAACCAGGAGTCAGACAGGGAAACGCAAAGATACTAAAAAGGTGGAGAGAGAGACGGCACTGTTCTAACAGAAGTTCATATTGGACATACAAGACTAACACATGTACACCTGCTAAGAGCTGAAGGTTTACCTCAATGCACCCATTGCAATCATAGCTTGATGGTTGAGCACATTTTGATTGAATGGAAATGCTATGAGCTTAAATGTAGTAAATACTACAATGTCAATATGTACAATGTAGAAATGAATACAATATGGGAACCAGTAATAGGGAGTGTTAGAGAAAAGCAAATGAATAACAACAAAAATCGCAATATAAGCTCTGGTAAAAAAAAAAAAAAAATATCAAAATAACAGAAAAAACTGCAATCTGAGCACTGGTTAAAAAAAAAATGGTTGTTGAGACATTAGGCTTGTAAATCCCAAAAATTCAAATGCAGATGTCCTCAAGGACACATGGCCCAGTGGATAAAGATGTTGGTTAGATCCAGTGACTAGAGTTCAATTCCAGGCCAATGTTTGGTTGGTTGATTAATTGGGAAACACAAAATCATTAAAAGAAAGAGTGATGAAGAAAGGACACTGTACTAACTAGAGTTTGTATTGGATATACATGACTAACTCATGTACTCCTGCTAAGAGCTGAAGGTTTACCTCAATGCACCCATTGCAATCATAGATTGACGGTTGAGAACATTTTGATTGAATGGAAATGCTATCAGTTTAAACATAGTAAATACTACAATATCACAAATATAAAAACATTGTTTAAAGATGTTGCTCTCTTGCAAAATAACAGGGTTTCTAAAAGAAATGGGAATTTTTAAATCCCTTTAAAAATTGTCTATGTATGGGTATATAAGAAGTTTAGATGGTTTGAATAGACAGATTAAACAATCTATTTAAAAAGAATTGTAGCTGCCAAACTGAGCTGCTCCAAATATTGGAAAAAAAGAAAAGTGTGTATATGTATTCATTTGGTTGGCGTAAAATGACCCATTAAGGTTGACATGCTGTAAAATAAAATCTATCCAAAGCTTCTTAAGATTGCTCAAATTACCAATAAATTTGAATATTCAAAATTTATCAGCATAAGTCTTAGATCAGGGACTGCTTGAGAATACCAGGTACCTCCAAAATGTGTTTTGGCTTTAAATAAGCCTTAAATCAAAGGGTTGATGAACCATAAAAAAATCAATCAATCAATCAGTAATATAAAGATATCACGGCTGGTTGGACACCGAAATCCAGCCAATCATGATGAATGGTTGTACTCTCAGAGAGGCCTGTGCCTTAAGAGACTATTCGGCCTTACTCATACTTGACTGCAAATGGAACTCATACATACAATCCATTACCTAAGATGAAGGAAAAATGGCTGGATCTCTGTACTGCTCCAGTAAGTACCCGTCTCCTCATGCTATCCTCTGTCTTTACAAGCACAAGATCCAGCCAAGAATGGAGTACTGTTGTCATATAGGGACGAGAGCTACCCAGTCCTCACTTTCCAGTCTCAATAGAGTTCAGTGGGTGACAATTATTTTCCACCCTCCAACCTTCCTCTCACAGGCAGGATACTCACTGCTCTATTGCTACTTCCATGGAAAGTGCTTGAACGAACTATATTCCTTGGTCCCAGTATGCCACTTTCAGCAAATCACCCACATTCCCTCTGTATTCCACTTGAACAGCTTCCTGCAAACTGCTGCTCTTTGAAACTGACTCCTAAGAGAATGTTTGCCTGATCACTACAATCTTAACCTGTTCAAGCCTAGGGTTAATCCTTATTGTCCGACTCTTATCTGTATACACTGCCCCTTAACCTTCTATATTAAATGGCTCCTGGACCTTGTACACAGTGAACCTCACTGGAAAAAAAGAAAAAAAAAAAATCAATGTAATAAAATTGGTTTTCTTTTTTCTGTTTTATCCATTTCACTTTACAGAAATACTGTTTAGTTTAATAAAAGATGTTTCTAATAGTTTAAAAGGTTTTAAATAATGCATTAAAACAGACATAATTAAAAAGGAGCAAAATTCCAACTACTTCTGTCGGCAACCTAAGAAGAAAAAGAAATCAAGAGCTAACCGTTTATGACTCCTTGGTTGTCAGAACTCAATTGAGGAAATTAAACAATAGTGGGCACACCGACTAAAACATGATAAGCATAATGAGAGAGAAAGAGAGAGAATAGACTTGTATTAACAATATACTGACATCTTCTATAAACAGATTGGAATAAGTCCAAACTACCAATCCCTTTGTTTACATTAGGATGGTTGTCTTGATCGAATATCAAATGTCTTGAGGACTTTCAAGTGTTAAGTTGGAATGTAATCCACTCAAAATTGAGAACCTATCCTAATGGAAGGATGATGTGCATTGCCAATTATTTATAAGACGTCCTCAACTTCTAGGCCCAGATGTGATGAAACAGTTATGCAAATTTTCCAGTCAAGCTTTTGCTTGTACATATTGGGCATTTCTTTTCTTTTGTAGTTGAGCTGTCCTACCTATGTAGTCAGCATCACATTGACACTTAAATTAGTAAATTATGGAACTAGTTTGGAGGATCGGTTATCTTTATGGATTGATTTCACCATTGATGAAGAAGAGAACATGCTGTGTGAATTAGCTGGTAGTTTTCCTCTCCCCACCTTTTTTTATAATTATGTTCATTTTTTTAATGTATTAATTAAATTTTATGAGTATGTGGCTGATTGGTTAGAATGTTCGCATTCTGGCCATAAAACTCGGGTTCGAATCTCACCATAGTTGATTTGTCAGGAAGGAGACTTTCTGATGTTAATCACACTGGAGGGGGATGATCCCAGCATATGGCACCTTTGGAAAGTGCCTGAAAACCATAACATGGGTTGACCCAAGCCTTGTAAGTAAAATTGGATAGATGGAACCTTTGGGAGCCATCAATAGCTGTGCTAGCACAAAGTCACAAGTCATTGTGGCTGAGGGTTTGAATGTGCTGGCCTTGTTCAAATTGTTGATCACACTAGATAACCTGCTCTTTCCCAGAAACTGTAACTAAGGTCTGCTCAGCATAGTTGCCATATAAACCACAGGTGGGCTCTGTTAAATAAACACACATATGCCTGAGCAGACGTCTGCAACAGGGACTGGCTAGCCACCCTAGTAGACAGGTATCCTTAAATACAAGTGGCCAGCTATACTATATACATACAATTAAATTTCATACCTCAAACAAGATCTTCTCAACCTGTGAATGTCATTTGTTGAACATAGGCCTTCCTTAGATTCATGGAGAGGAATGGACCATTACCCTACTACACTGGTCTAATTTGTGTTGGTAGGGTCAGATGTGAAATGCTTGGGTGATCTCTTGTTGATTCATGATCGCCCAAGGGTATTTGTGCTTTAGTGAACCAGATTGGAATTTGAACTTGGCTCTCTGATTTCCAATTCTCAGCTGTTATTAATTTTGCTACCTGTACACATCCTGGCTTACAACACCTAGTATTTCCAAGAAGTTACCCATCTAGGTACTGAGCAGACTTGATGTTGCTTAACTGTGAAAATCTGATGCTATTTTAAAACCATTCATCTTGCTGCTTAAATGGTATGTGATGTAGGTTTATTATTTTGGTTAAATTCACTTCCTTCATTTGAGTACCAATCATAGGTAGGGATATTTGAAGCCCTCGTCTAATATTTCTCTACTCTTCTGCATTATACTTGGTCATTTAAATATGTATTTATTTTATTAGTTTTGATGGCTTTTTTTTTTTTTTAATTACAAAAATAGTATTAAGAATATTATGCTTATCTTCTCAGCCAAGAAAAATAAATTTTAGTACAAAGGACATTTGTTGGTGCAGAATTGCGAATATTGATATCACCGTTATTTACTTTCTCCCAGCCTACTTCCTTTCTGCAAGTGGCATTTTAAAAAGATCTGCAGAGAGATGCTTAATCTTAAAGAATGTCCTCTTATTGGATCTATATTTTATCTTTGTGCATTGGAATTGTAAAGCAAAATTGGCTGACTTAAAGCTATATCACGTTGAAATATTAGTTCCCATATGATCACCAAATTTAAGCAATGTTGAGCCTGGTCAGTACCTAGATAGATGACTGCTTGGGAATACCAGGTGCTGTAAGCTTGGATTGTGGGTGGTATAATGGCTCAGAATGGTTAATCAGAGAACCGAGTTCCAATTCTAGTCAGGTTCATTATATTCACTTGTGCACAAATAGCCTTGGGAAAGGTAAGAATCCACCTCTTTTCCCACCCCCATCTGATTGTTAATTAGTAAGACTTTTATTACTAAATCATTATTTCAAAACAATTCTTAGAGTCTAAAAATATTTTCTGGCTTTAAATAACCTGCAATGGGCTGATAAGCTGTAAAAAATGAATTGATCATTCAGTCAAGAAGCATGATAATGTGATAATGTTGCAAGCAAAATAAGAACAAAAGCAAAGATAAAAGCATGTAAAAAGTGATAAGAAATTGAAAAATAACCTCTAATAAGATGATGCTTAATAACTTCTTACTATTATAAAACTTTTATATATACAGGATGCAATAGGTAAATTGTCACCATTTTATATTTTTAACTTTGCGCATGTGTGTGTGTGTGTGTGTCCTTGATATTTTTTTTTTCAACTGCACAGTATAGTAGGGTCAGTTGGGCACCATCTGTGGGAAAAAATCTGTGATGCAATTCACTCCACCAGAAATTTGAAAATGGTATATTGTACTGCTTGGCATTCATGCTGGAAGCTCCAATACAAACATTTCAGTAGTTTTGGGTGTCAATCTTAGGACAGTGCAGAGGATGGATGAGCCTAATTGGGGATTACAAAGATACGGCAGCTTGGAAAACACGCTCTGATCATTCTGATAAAAAAAGAACTCTTAAAATTGTTGGTGAGGGCTTCACTTAACACAGAGGCCTACACCAAATGCCTTGAGGAGGTAGTTCTGCCCTGGGTCAAGTGGGTAGCTGCTGGAAGACCTTACATCTGGCAACAGGACTCTGCACCATGCCACATAAGCAGGAGAACCCAGTCATGGTTGTCAGACAATTTCTGTGACCACATCACTCCTTTACATCTGGCCACCTAACTCCCCAGACTGTAACTCCCTTAATTATTATGGGTGAGCAAGAGACCAACAAAACTCCTTGTAACATCAAAGATGAACTGAAGGCAAGGATTATAGCAGAATTCACAAACTTAAATCAGGAAACCATCCAGAAGAATTGTAGGAGATTCTGAAATTGTCTGGACGCTGTGGTTGATGCCAATGGTGATATTATGGAATTAATTTACTCTTTAGTATTTCAAGATATTTTTGTGTAATTTGGTAAATATATCTGTTAAAATGAGATGTCAGTGTTATTTTCATTTTTGTATAATTTAGAGGATAATTTATCCATCGCACCTTGTATTTATTAGCAGCCCTCAAACAAAAGTAAAAACTGGACATAATTTTTTAATCAAACTTTTTACCTAATTAGTAATAATTTTATCACTAAGTTATCGTATTCATATTTGGTTTATTGTCCTCATCTTTGTTGTTTTTATCACAATGATTTGGCCGTTGTGCCCTCATAAGGTGTATGTAAATTTGGGTTACCTACAGGGAGTTCCAAACTGAACCCTTTATTTAATCTACTGGGGTAGACTGTTCTCATTCCACTGTTCATGTCTACGGAAATTGTCTAGTTCTTATTTTATTTAGTACTATTCAGTTATTGCCACCTGTTTCCTCTGAATGCAAGTACCAGAGTAGTGTGTACTTGAATTCGCAACCACTGTGTCACTAAATTTGTAAACCACTATGCCATTGTCATATGGTACAATTGCTGGAGTAAATTTAGAGCTAAATTATCATCTAAAACGAAAAAAATTCTTACAACTTAAAAATATTTTCTGGCTTTAAATAACCTGCAAAAAGTTGATGAACCATAGAAAATGAATGAATGAAACAAAATAAAACTGACTTTTATGCTCTGAGATTCCATTTTCTTTTTGACGTAGCTTATTAGTCAACTCTTTAAACCTCTTTGTTTGGATCAATCTTGCTAAAAAAAAGAAAAAAAAAAATAGAATTTTTTTTTAATTTCACAAATACTTGTTTTTCTTACTTCATGCTTCTAGGTTTGTTGATTTCATTTCCAATACAATACTTTGAAATCATTTTCATTTGTTTTTGTTTTTCTCAATTTCCATATTTTGTTATTTTTTTTTTTTTTAAATTGTCATTCCATGTCTCAGCATGAAAAAGCAAGATTCCTAGTCGTAGTTGTAGTTGTGAAAAGTAATTAACATTCTGTGTTGCAATGCTGCAAGTTTTTGCTAGAAACAAAAATCCTTGAGTTTTGTCTTGACTTGTTCACTATTTTCCCTAGCTTTAATACTTCACCTCTCACTTCTGTCCTTTCTCTCTCTTCCATATGTATCACTTTATTTCACACACACACACACACACACTCACAGGCAACATAATGACAGTGGGAAAATTTCTGTGACAAGTTCCATTCTTTAGGACTTCATCAGACTAAGTAATATTTTTGTTGATGGAATTGTAGGAAAAAGAGAGGAGTATAAGAATGTAAATACCGAAAATTTTCTAAATGCCAATGTCTTAAACTTCAGAATTTAGAAATTTTTTTTTTTTTAAACTATTTGAATTTAATTTTTTTTTTTTTTTTTTTTTAATTTTTTTCTTTTTAGATGTGTCTATATATGTAGTCTGGCCAATTTCAATCCAAGAGTTTAAAATTTCAGCATTTCCTGTTTATGCATAATTATTACCAATGTTTGGCACATGTCAGAGAGTATCCCCCAGACGAGGCTATGCCGAAAGGGCAGAGTCTTGTTTTGGGAAACTGACTCTGTTTTCTGTGGTCTATAGGGAATTTTCGCCCAAACATACGGGCTTGGATACCCCACTTTAAAACTCAGCCTTGTGCCACATCTTACTGCATGGGCCAGTGGGTAAATAATTTATTACCAATATTTGTGTTTCTATATTCCCCCTTCCTCTTCCTACATATATAATACCATCAACAAAAACATTACATAAAGTCCTAAAGAATGAAATGTGGCACGCAGAAATTTTCCCACTTTCTCATTAATTTGCCTAACATTATTCTGATATATAAAAATTTATGTACCATATTCTCCCATATATATATATATATATATATATATAATCTCCAAACAAAAACAAACACCATGATGACGGTTGAGGACAACTGAAAGTGCTTGGCAGAAAGTTATCGACTTGGATCCTACTTTAGCAACCTGGACTCAAACATTAAAAAACTTGCAAGGAAGCAAGAAAAAACTGAGAAAAAGATCATTAAGCAGAAGAGTTTCGTAGTCTTTCATAACACATGCCTTAATATATATATATATATATATATATATAGTTATACTCCAAACTACAGACTTCTATTATTTTCACTTCGTTGCTTAGCCTGTCAGTGTCATTTTCACTGACTCTTATTTTTTATTTATGAAAAAGATTTGGTTTGCTCTTTATATTTCGTGTGCTTTTATCAAAATTTATACAGAACAATTCCTTAGTGTTTTAAATTCTGTTTAAAAGGACTGTGAAGCTTAGAACTTCTGAAGAGACTTTCTATTCAGAAAGTATGTTAAACTCAGATCTATATTTAATGAGATACTTTTAAGTTATTACTTAATTGACTGATCCCTTTTGTTTTTTATTTTTTTGGGTTTTTTTTACCTGCTATACAAACACCTGTAAACAATCATGGACAACTTCTGAACATCATTAATGAAAGTTGAGAGAAGTAGCAGTTATAAAAAGTTGCTTTTTGGGTGTTTCTTTTAAAAAGATAACTTTCTAAAATCATACATTTTAAGCCATTATTTGTTGTACCTATTTCTTTTTGTAATTGATTAGCCCACTATTTTGTATTGCACTCAATCGGCCAGGGTATGATGATAAACTACATCTGGCAGCAAGACCTCTGATTGGTAGGTTTTGAGAAGCATGGAACCACCTTGTAATTGCTGTTCTCAGGTCAACCATGACCCAGTGTGGTAGCACCTGTTAGGATCCCAGCTATGGGCAAATAGTTAACCCCCAGACAAGGGTCAAAATATTATGAAAGTATAAAAATATATTTTTGCAGTAAGAATACTAGCAATACATTTTCATAGTAAAAAAAAAAAATAAATAAATAACAAATACCAGGAATAGACTATTGAAAAAGGAAGAGAAAAATTACCATTTAAAAAAAAAAATTATCAAACTTCCCAATAAAATAAAATTGTGGTATTAAATGACACATAAGGTGTTGATATGCAAATCAAACACAACAAACTTTACACTCAAGCCCAACTATAAAGAACATGTTATGTAATCTCATGTTTTAGTGAACAGGTTAAAATAAACCTTTGACTCATATTGTCTATATTTTGTTCAGAATGATGAACTCTGTTTTTGCTGTGACCATGTTTTATTTGATCCATTCCTCAGCCTTCACAGGATGCTTTTTTTTTCTTTTTTTTTTTTAAGTGGGTTCATTGGAGACTTTATATCTTCAGAAAATCAGGAACCTAAAGAATGATCTCACCTTTATCTCCCTTGGATCTTATATAATCATTATTCCTGGTTATAAAGCGCAACTTGTCACACCAAAATCATATGTATTTATGAGGAGTTGCAGAAAAAAGTTCTTGGCACAACCTTCCAAAAAGCATTTGTTGCTTCATTATTTGGTTACACTTAGGGAAGTCGCTTGGACTGGGAACTTTTCAGCACTACTCTCCGTTATAGTGAAATGGATAATAATAAATGTTGTCTGAATGTGGGAAGGAGGGGAAAGAGAGCATAAATGGCTATCATCTAATCCTGTTGGTTTGTAATTTTCAACTAGAGATGGAGATGTTTAAAGACTTTTAAAATCTTGAAAGTCAAGAGAAACAAAAAAAATGTTAAAAAAAGATAAAAGCATATTTTTAAAAAAAATAATACTTTTCAACTTAACTGAACTTAATATTGAGTTCAGTGTATCTTTAAATTTCTTTTCTGTTTCTCTGGAAATGGTAAAATTTCTGTAAATTTCCATTTAAACTGCTTTTCAATATATCTGAATAATTTTGTCATTTATTTAAAGATTGTTTGTAAATGTTATGAAAAAACAATTACAAAGATTATCAAATAATGAAAGGGAAAGTTTATCAAACTATATTTTCTTTGGATTTATAAATCTTTATCATTTATTTCTGGTATTGGCTCAGTGAAGACGGTATACAATTAAATCCTGGTCAATTAGTGATGAGGACATAGTTATTGAAAAAAATATCAGTTTATTGAGCAACTGATTTTGGATTTTGAATTTAAAAAATATTACTTATGAAGCTCATATAAGATAATCTTAAAATATTTTTTTTTCTCTAAAATTAATGTTTTATATAGTCTTTAATTCTAAAGCATTTGAATCTTATAGCAAATTGTTTCTTCATATATAGGCTGGTAGCAGTCCCATCAGCATCGGTGCTTTCAGTCATGGCTCCAGCATGGATGAATTCCGAGATGATCCTTTCAAAGGCAAGGATCCTTTTGCCAATGCTGGTATGGATGTTGCTCCTGCTGCAGACCCTTTTCAAAATGAAGACCCGTTTAAAGGAAGTATGTTACCATCTCCTTTTTTTTTTTTTCCTATTTTTTTTCTGAATTGATTCTTACTTACTCCTGTTTTTGTGTTATTCCTTCTCAATGGCTCTAAAAGAATTCTTCTTGAACAATTAAAAAGAAATTTCTTAATTTTTACAACATTTTTACCTTTGACATTTGCATGTTGTTGTTTTTTTTTTCTTCACCATTTTTATGATCCGGTGACTTGCTAATTGGAAATTTTCCAACAAATGATCTGATTCCAGAAGTGCATGTGTTCATCATAAGATCTTTGTTTACTTTAATCTCAAACAGTGTTTCTATGAAATTGCTATTGTTAGCCCCTCACTTTTCCAACACTTCCGTTTAATGCTAACTTCTTATCTTTACTGATGACAGAATAATGAACTTGACACTTTGGTCAGCATGCTGTTTGTTTTGGTATTAATACCCCCCAAAAAAAAAAAAAAAATTCACAAATTAAACTGGATGATCCTATTATCAAGTCATATGCTATATATGATTCACATTTGAGCAATCGTGTCTCTTTCAGTTCATACATGGCTAAGCAGAAGATTTCTTGCAGTAGGCTGCCATTTCTTTCCGGTAGACTGGTTGCTAACCAAGGCTATAGAACCCATTGTCTTCAGCCGTACCAGCCATAAAGGAAGAAAATGATGCTTAGAGATCATGTAGATGAAAGATATTTTGGTTTTTAACATGAGCAGTGCAGAATTCAAAAATAACTTCTGGAAAGATAACTTTCAAAACTTACATATGGTATCTGGTACAAATGATCTCAATAGCTAGGAGTTAGTGTATAGTCAGTATGTGATAGACACTTGGGCAGTCATGTCTCTTTTGATATATGACTGACTAGGCAGAAGATTTTCCCCACAGTAGGCTGCAATTTCTTTCTATGGTAGACTGGTTGCCAACTAAGACCATGAGATCCAGTCTCTCTTACTATTTAACTTATTGCTGGGGGAAGAAGTGATGAGTTCATACCCTTTCTCAAGGGTAAAAAGACTTTTAAAAAAATCTTTCAAGCAAAAATGACTTGAGAGTAGTAATTAAAAACAACAGAAATATAAAAAAAAAAAAACTAGTCAAAAATTAATTTTGGCAATGCCTCATCTAAGAAATTCAAAACAACTTAGAACTAAAATTATATGAAAAAATATAGTCTTAAGGTGTGCTATATTTATGGGATAAAGTGCTCAATAGCAGAGATAGAGCGTGTGTAAATATATAAGTGAACATTGAAGTCAACACTTAAAGGAAACAGGCTGTTTCATGCTAGATGCATTCATCAGGCCACTGTGGCCTGAAGATTGCATCTAGCATGAAACAGCCTGTCACCTCTAAGTGTTGACTTTAATGTTCTTATATATATATATATATATATATATATATATATATATATATATATATATATATATTATATATTAACTTTAAATATTATATGCCTTAATTTGCTTTATAGTTCTAATACTTCATGTTGAAATGTTTGATTTTTCTCCTCTCAAAATGGTTCTTAAGGTTCTGATAATACAAAATCAGAGGACTGGGTTTTATGGCCTTGGTTGTCAATCAGTCTACCACAGAAAGAAATGGCAGCCTACTGTGGGGAAATTCTTCTGCCTGGTCAGTCATGAATCAAAAGAGACATGATTGCGCAATCGTGTATTACATATGCCACTTAACTGACTCTACATTGACCCATAGTTATTATTATCATTTGTACCAGATACCATCTGGAAATTTGAAAAGTTATTATCTTTCCTTGAGTTATTCATGAATTCTTTGTTGTTCTTGTTAAAAACCAAAATATCTTTCACTTACATGGCCTGTCAGAAGTGGATGGTATGCTCGAAGTTGGTCATCTTGCTCAAAATATTGTAGTCATAGCAAAAGCAGTACGAAGAAGAAACACAATTAACTGAACAACACTTTCAATTTGACTTTATTACTTCTCATTTTATGTCAGCAAAACCTTCAGAATCATTTTGAGATGAAAGAAAGAGTGGATTCCAACCTGAAGCATTAGAAAGTGTTTGACATTCTGTAAACCTTAGATAGTTAATTTGATCGAATCTAATAGGTGTACGGAATGTATGGTCATAAGCAAGAGAAACAGTTCAAAGTGTGAGTGATGAACTGTGGGCATCAGAAACCGGCATATACAGAGATTCAACTATCAGGTTAGGGTAAGAAGAGATGACGGAAAATGTAACACAAACATATGAAGACCTGTTAAAGTAGCAAAAGATGCTTTCCAGAAACTAAACTAAATATTAAGAGACAGGAAGATTTTGTTAGAAGTTCAGCACTTTTCCTTGTTTCTATGTGATAACCATCTTCCCATATGGCAGTGAATGCTGGACAATTTCCTTACAGGTGAAATAACCCAGTGACAGAGGAGATTCTATAAATGGATGCTCAGAATATCACGGATGGGACATATGAGCAAGTAGGAAGTTTTAAAGAAAAGGAAAACTAAAAGGACACCCATAATTAAAATTAAATGGTCATGTGGTTGAGTTGCTAGAACATTTGAATCTCAACATTATTGATTTGTCAGGAAGATGGCTTGACATTATCAGTCTTGAGGAGATGATCTCAGTATGTGGCACCTTTGGAAAGTGCCTGAAAACCATGCAATGGGTTAACCCAAGCCTTGTGAGTGAAACTGAGTAGACAGAACCCTTGTTGCAGTATAAACCACAGACGGGCTCTGTGGGTTTTGACCAAACACAAATGTGCCTAAGAAAGCTTCTGCAACAGGGATTAGCAAGCTGCTCTAGTAGATGGGAATCCTTGGATACAGGTGGCCAGTCATCCATCCATTTAAAATTAGAAAGGGACAGTTAAAATTTCTGGGACACACTATGAGAAAAAAGGCTTGGACAGTTTAACACTCACAGGGCATATTGAAAAAAAAAAAGAACAAGAATGGAAACAGTCAGTAACCTTCCTGATTTTGTGTGAGTGGATGGTACATCAGTCATGGGGGACGTGAAAAATCAAATTTTGCTTTGGGTTCCAAGTGATAGGAAGTTTTGGAGAGCTTTGATTTTCACATTCAAAAGGAAAGTTGCACATAAAACAAGATTTGAAATATGGTTTTGTGATAGAATCAGCTTTAGCTGTGTAAATCCTGATTATTCTTCTACTCATAGAATTGTATCATTAAATGGAAGGGATAATTGATTTTGTATATTTAATTAGAATAGTGCAAAATATTTTTTTTACACATTTAAAGGTACCAATATGCAAGAAGTTAGTAATAGTGTGGAAAGTGAAATCGGGAAGCTAAGTTCAAATTCTAGTTTGTTGTGTTCACTTTCACCTGTCCCAGCTATGTGTTAAATAACAAGGTTAACTGGATTTTTTTTCACTCTAGGTGGTAACCAATCAAAGATCAGGACTACTCTGAATTCAAAACAGTGGAAAAGGCAACAGAAAACCACTTTACTATATTTCCCAAGAAGTTATTACAATTCCAAGATAATAAAAAAAAAAAAAAAAAACACTGGTGAGCCATGATTGCTGATGTCCTGAAGAAAAAAAATAAAGAACTTGTAATTTGACTCTCTAATTGAGTTAGTGTAATGTTTCTACATTACTTGAACCAAGGTTTAAATGTAATGCTTTTGTCCATTAGGTGATGGTACACAGTGATGTTTAAATACAAGGTTAATTCCAGATATTTTCACACTTTTTTAGAAGAGACATTAATGTTCAAAGAAGAAAAAAAACACTAATTTCTTTGAAAATAGGATCCTCTGACTCCAATGCACTTGTTGTAGCCTTACAACCAGTTCGTGGTGGTCCCATGGAACAAGCAAAAGTAACAGGCAGCAAGGCTGGGACAATAAGGAGGGTAAGGGAGAGTTTTGATGCCTATCAACCACATCTCATGTCACCAATACATCTTTCCTTTTGTTCATCACTGAACTTTGTAACAAACTTTGTACATGTTCAGATCTTCATGAATAATTCAGTATACCAAACCGTATGCTTATTGTCTTTATAGACGCACAATGGCCATTATCCAGAAAATTGCAATTTTTCTCAAACGGCTCTGATGTTCTTCATCCTCTCACATCTTTCATTGTCTCTCTCCTCCTCTGGCCTATCCTCAAATTTCTTGTGTCAGCAAAAAACTGATGCTTTGCAAGTTAATTCATAAGCAATCTGGAGCATTTCAGAAGTTTCTGTAGTGTTGTTGCCCACTTTAACAATAACTTTATTGCATAACAAGCTTAGAAAGTTTTTTCATGTCCTGACTACGTTCTACAAACTAGTCAGCTGTGACAAGCAGCATTTAGTTGGGTGTGTCCAAAGACCCATTACAGTCGTCCATCTCTTTCAATGTGGAATGACAAAAATTGGCAGGTCAGCTTATCAAATATATAGTAATGATATATTAGGCCAAAAATGGAGTATTGTTACCATATTTGGGTGGAAGCTGCCTTGATTCACATTCCAACCTTGGTAGAGTCGAAAAGCATCTCCGAGATCTTGTGGGTGATGAATTATTCTCCACCCTCCAATCTCTCTCTCACAGTCGGGATATGGCAAGCCTATTGCTACTCTCTTGCTACTTCTACAGAAAGGGCTTGGACGAACTAGATTTCCTTGTTCTGCCAGTTCAAAACTTTATGACAGGAATATGCCATGGCACTTAGATAGTAGCAAACGACCCATATTCCCTCAGTGAGAAATAAGTTCCATTCAAACAGTTTCTTTCCATGGACCACTGCTCTGTGGAATCGACTACTAAGATGATGTTTCCCCGATCACTACAATCTTAACCTGTTCAAGGTTCAGGTTAACCATTATCTTTCCCTCTTATCTGCACAAATTACCCCTTGACGTAACCCCTGGTCTTTGTACAGGGTGAACCTTACTGCAAAAAAAGACTGCCTCTCCTAAAAAAAAAAAAAAATTCAAAACTTCTAGAATGCATGTTTCCAAATATTTGATCTTTCTGCTTGGTTTACTGATTGAATGATTTGAGCAAAGTTCTGAGATCATCTTGGAAGGACATCAAAAAAACTTTTGGTTCAATGATCAGAGCAGTTTAGTAAAAACAACAAACCTAAGGGAACTGCTTTTATTGTAACAACACCTCATTCAGATAAAAATTGTCACTGTATGAAAAAGTTACCAAAAACTATTTCAGTGCACAGAAAATAAAAATAAATAGTCCATTCCTTTCTCAATTTGTAAGGATCTTCCTTTATGTGCCATATCCTTTCAGGAGGTGGATGGTCATGGTCCACCCCAACTTCATATTGTTTGTAGATTGAGGTTATTGTTTTCTTTTCATCTGCCCCTGTTACCTTCAATATTTCCTGTGAGTGCCAAAATTTCCAAACACTCTTTCCTCATTCTGTTCAACTCTTTCTCATTTTTGATGTTGTTTCCATTTTCCTTAAAGTGTTTTTTCTTCTCGTATGCTCCACCCATGATATCCTCAGTATTTTTCTGTACAACCACATTTCTATTGGCTCACGTTTCCTCTTCATTTGTGATGAAATTGTCCAGCATTCACTGCCGTATAGGAGGATTGATATTACATTCAGTATTCTTTTCTTTGTTTCTAACAAAATTGTCCTGTTTCTTAATACATGTTGTCTTTCAGAGTTTTAGCATTTTTTAAAAGACTGTCTTCTACTAATCTAAAACCATTGAAGTGGTTTCTTTATTAATAGTTATCGTTTTGAGGTTTCTTATGCAAATGATGCTTATTTCATGTTTGACTGTTTTAAAATTTGATTTCACTTTTTTGAATTGTATTTTTCTACTTGTTATTTTTGCTGGTTTTGCCTAACATTCCTTTCAGGCCATTATGAATTGAGTACGACTTGTACTCTGTGAGTTATCACTCCCCACTCCTCTATGTTCAGTACTTTCACAAACTCCTCTGGGCTCCCTATGTGCTTGTGTCTATCTTGTCCTCTGTGTCTACATTATCATTCATTACTATTTCTTCCAGGCGATCCTTTCACCCAAGACCCCTTTGCATCCGAAGACCCTTTCAAAGATGCATTTCCGGTGGCTGATAATGATTCTTCTGCCTTTCCTAAGGTAAAAGCTTCTCTTTCTGTCACAAAAAGGCTGATAATGCTACACTTGTCAGCAAGATGCCATCAATGAATTTTTGTAATTGTTGTCTACAAACTCTTCAAGTGATTTTTTTTTTCTTCTTTTTTTGACTAGTTGCAATAGAGATCTACCCTGATGCAATTAGGCCTTACAACATTCAAAAACTAATTTACACCTGTTTATGAGAGCAGTCCTTAATTATCTCTAAGTTACGATTTTAACTGATTTACTTTCTTGTTTTTAAAATTATTTAACTATCTTAGAAACAAGAAATGTTAAATTTGTCTTCAGCTGAGAAAATCTGTTCTTTCCTCATTTAATTTTTTTTTCCTTGCACACTTTTAAACAAATAAAATATAACAATCAGAAATGTCTGCAGTTAATGTTTCTTAACTTTGTCTTTTCTCTTTATAAGGCAAAAAAAATTACTTCCACAAAATCATACCCATTGCTACATAAACCCTATAGGTTTCAATGTGCAAATAAATTGTTTGCTTTACAATAAGCCCAAATCAATACTTACTGTAAATTGTGGTGTACAAGTCAACCTCAAGATTTTAGCTTAAAATTCCGGGTTAGACCTTTTATATTTCTTTCTTATGTGGAATTGTGTTAGATGGACAACAATTAAATTATAAACAGCAGAAAGTAAGGCAACACAAGGTATATTAACACAACAGACTTTTATTATATATTAATGAAGAGCTCTTAAAAACAAGGGCAGATAATTAACTGATTATGTAACAAGGCTATACTTACCATATAGGTTGAAGGCCAAACATGGTAGGCTACCAATGGCCCAAAATATATGCCGACTAGTAAATGAAGTTAGACTATGGTATACAATAACCTGTGCCAAAACTTCACAAGGTTACACCACTTACCTGTATATTGAGACACTAACCGTAATATCTTTCTGTATGCATCGTATAGCAAGCAACCTACAACAGATATGGTATGTACCTATATTGCATCATTATAACTTGGGGAACATTTAAAATTTGTCGTGTCTACTGATAAACACATTAAAGTCAGCATCAACTCCTATAAAATATTAATACTGTAGATTACACATCATACCAGGTACTTTTTTTTATAGTCCTGCTATGTATCATATTAATGTAATATGCTGTTGGATGCAATGTTTACTGTAGCATTAATAGAATACTGAATTTATGTTACTATTTTAATATTTTATATTAATTTCTGAGTTAATATGCTAAATATGTTCCCCAAATACAAGTTTTAGTGGGAGAGATATATATATATATATATATATATATATATTCGTTACAGCCTGGTTGGAGATACGGTAAATGGTGTACAGTAATTGTTAGGAGTGGTGTCCCACTTGTTTATAATACAGTGGTAAAGGTTTGCATTTTATACCTGCCATATAAGTAGACCACTAGTTTTGGAAAGATTTTTTTAGGCTTGAAGACTCAACTTGTACATTCCAATTTATGGTATAGTCCAGTTCCTGTAAATATCTTAGAAATCTATCTCTAGATTTTAGAAAAATATCTGTATATCTTTAATCGAAATCTACTGACTTAGAGGAAAGCCTGCCACTTGTCATACATTTATAGCCCTGCAAAATCTCATTTCTGCTTCATTGATTCATGTTGTTTTTTTGATATCATGTTAGCTTTTTTGGCAAACATGGATAAACATGCCATCAATAAGTCATAGTGTCAAAAGGACATCTTTTTTTCCCATGACACCACTTTTTTTTTAACTACCTTAACTATTCAGCAATGTTTGTTTTAAAAAAAGTGATGATTAGAATTGGAATAAAAACTAAACACATGGTGAAAGTATCTGTCTATATTTCTGACATGAGGTATTGTAATTATTTACACTATTTACATTCTTCAGACTCTTGCTGTCATATTCACAACATTATGGCTGTTGTATGCTTCAGCCTTGGAGAATTGAATTAAAGGGAAATAACTGAGACATCCGGGAGAGGCATGGTATGTGGAACTAGAGCAATCTACCCCAGTATATGAAATGAAGGGTTCAATTCGAAATTCCAGTCACCTGAAGAAGGCTGGGGCATACAACAGCCGAAATGTCATGAATTTGGCAAAAAAGATGAGAACAACAGTCCGAACAATGGGAATAGTGTAAATTATTTATTAGGTTGTTTGTTTACAAGAATAATTTTATATTTACAACACTGTAAAAACTAATACAATTAAAACTAATGCAATGCAATATTTATCATTTACTAATTTATGAAGAAATATGAAAACAATTTTTTATTCATAAATTTATAAACATTTACTAAATTATTAAAATATGTGAACCAATTATAAGCAAATCCTTATTTACCATTTTATAAAGTTTGAGTCAATTGACAATTAGCCAATGTTTTGCCAGTCATTCCTATAAACAATCAAATAGTGTTTATTATTTTTGTTGTGGATTCTCAAGAACAAAGAAAATATATAAATTTACTTTCATATTTTTAGGTTTTATTACAATTCTAATCACGGCTTTTTAAAACAATAAACCTTACCAAGGAGTGAAGGTAGTTAAAATAATAGTGGTGTCAAGGGAAAAACCATCTTTTTGACATTACATTTTATTGTGGGCACGTTTATCCATGGTTTCCCCCTTTTTTCTGGGAATGTGCCAAAGATTGTTTTCATTTGTCCATTTATTTGTTTAGTCATAAGAAGCAACAAAAGAACAGTTTTGTTCTCCAAATAATATTCTTTCTCATGCTGTTTTGATCTTTAGCCAAGATCCCCTATGATGTGACTAAGGCTGCTGAATATTAAGCAACTGCTGCCTCTTGTAAACCTGTCTTTGTTAATCACAACTCTTTCTCATTTTCTTTTCTTTTTCTCCTTTTTTACTCTTGCTACCTTCCTGTTTTTCTTTTCTCTTTCTTTTTCCATTTTTTTCTATGTTTTTTCTTTCATTCTCTTTTTCTCTCTCTCTTTTTCCTTCTGACTGAAACTTCATCACTATAATCTCCCAAACGAATCCTAAAATTGTATTTTTGCTTTTAGTGTTGAAAGTTTAATCTTAGTAATTACAACATGTACTCTTAATATAGAATGCAAAATGTTTTTTCTTTGTAGCTTTTTGAAATCTAATGTTGATTAACCAAATAGTTATCTCCCTTGCACGCATTTTCATTTCCTTTTTCTTTTCACTTCTTAAAGAAGCTTTTTCACTATAACCTAATCCAAAATTTGTATTGTTGCTTTTAGTATTGAAAATATAATCTTAGTAATAATGTTGCTTTAACTCTGTTATGACAATGGCAGACGGTTCCAAAATGCTTATGCTATTGAGAAAGGGGGAAAAAGACAATTCCATAAAAGAGCAGAGTACAGTAATGATAATTAGAAAAAATAGATTTAAAATACTGTTATTTTTAATGGCATTGGTAAGCTAGTATTGATGACAGCTAAGTTGTCTCTGAGATTCTAAAATGAAGTATTTTCACTATTTTACATACGTTGACCAAATAAGTGAATTTCATGGCCTAAATCAGCTAAAATGGTTCACTTTTTTAAAAATATTTCTTAAAGTAAGATAGTGAAAGAACTTAATCTTATTCTATTAGTACTGCTACTACTGCTTAGTAACAACAATAATACAATGTTGAAAGCAAGTTAGTGAAAAAGAGTGAAACAAAAAAGTCATTAAAATCAACCATAACTTTAATGTCTAAATTTCAGAGATAATGAATTATTATTATTATTCCAGTTTGCCATGATCAGAATAATGTTCTTATTTTATTTCACAATATTTTACCTGTTGTAACTTACAACAAACACCTCAAAATGGGTGGGGGAGAATAAAAAGGACGAAATATTGTAATTATGAACACCAAATCAGTCAGTCTATGAAAAACTCATGGTTTTAGTAACTGAAATGGCATGGCATTGCCATAAAACATCATAGTATACAGGATGCTAGTTCAAATCTTCCCCAAATTTCTTTCTTCCAACTTCTTACTTGACTGAAGATTATATTAACAAAAAGTCTTCAGGTAAAGTTGCGTGAAAACTTTTAGAATTTTAGTTTCTTTTGAGGTAGATATAACCATATTATTTTATTTTTTGTATCTTTGTTCATTTTTATTGAGCAAAATAGTATTTCCCCTGTCTCATAATAGTTGTTACATTGGCATGCATGTTTCTTACATAAAATGTAACGGTTGTTATGGAACAGTGGTAATCTATTCTCATATTGACCATTTTCTTTATTTCAGGGTAAATTCCATGTTAAATGCTGTTTTCTGGTTTACAAAATAATGTGTTGTTCTGTTTCGTTTGAATTTTTATAAATCTTTTTTTTATTTGCATGCCTTTGTATATGTCTAGGTCCCTGAGAGCACCTCAAGCCCACCACCTCAAGAGGTAAGTACCTCTGAAACCAAACTCTCATCTAAAGTCAGGTTGAGATTTTTTTTTTTTTTTTAAATTTGGTCAGCTATTCCTTTTTGTTGAATATAATAACAATTATTAACTTTACCAAAATGGCCAACTTCTCTTGCTGCACTATTAATTTCAAAGGCACGTATTTTAGGGGGGTGCATGTATGTGATTTCAATATTAATAAGAATGACGATAACTTACCAGAGAATTGAAGTGACAGTTGTGCCCATTGTTAGTGGAACATTCAGAACAATCACATTGCTTTTGATAAATATTGGATGAATTGAAACCATCTAAATAGCAGTACTAAAATAAAATAGAATACTGGGGAAAGTCCTGGAGTATTTTGGAGGCTTGCTATTAGTTGAACTCCAGTAAAAGTCACCAGATACTACAGGTATGAAAAACTCAACAGGAGTGTAGATAATAAAAATTATACATTATATTCTCTCTCTTGCGTGGAGACTCCATTTTGTAAAGCATAAATTAGTACTAGGTCTCAAACATAATTGTAGGGAGAGAAAGGTTAGTTAGTTTTTGTATGTATATGTGTGTTGCATGAAAGAGATTGCTACACTGTAGCATTTTTTTATACATAGATTCAAATGTATACTGCTTGACAGCTTCTTTGGGACTCTCTCAGTTGACCTTTCTGCCATTCATATTGAATCAGTTCCTTTATCTGTTGTCTGTCAGCTTTAATTAGCAATTTACTTGTCCGGGATGCCATGAATGGCCATAGTTGTTGCACAATATCTAATCACAAGTAAATATAGTTATTTTTAGGTAATGTAGATAATATACCATATATACTTGTGTATCTCATGATTTTTGAAGACCTAATATTAAAGCTAATTTGACTACAGTAAATGGATATATAGTTTGGTCAACAGCATAGCCAGGGCCAGAAGTACATAGGCTAATTTTAGATCTCGTGTATGATGTGACCCTCTTAAAATTAGCTTCAAAATTAGGTCTTCAAGAGTTACATGATATGCAAGTATGTATGATAGTGCAAAATTCTTTGCTTATTTGAGGTTGTGTGGGATGGGGATCTTTGTCAGTACATTAATGGAATATCATTTGGAAGTTTGTGCTTTGGTAAAGTTAATATTCCTTCAAGCATATTCCAACTGAAGATGCAGTTTGGGGAGGTACTTACTGACATAAATAAATGTGTGTCTAGCATTAAAAGCATGTTTTTTTGTTTTTTTTTGTTGTTTTGTTTGTGATGTTTGTCATTTTGGCTTCAACCAATTTTCACATTAAAGTCACATGATAACTCAGTGGGGAGCATTTTCATTCAACAATGAGACAGCTTACATGCCAGCTTCTCTGGTTGCCTATCTATTTTCATTTGCCTATTGAATCCAATATGACAGTTTCCATTCCTCCTTTGCATTATATTCTTGCTAAAAAAAAAAAAAAGAAAGATGTAAAATAAAGTATTCCCTTTGTCTCTGCTTATCTTCCATTTTTGGTTAGAAATCCCAATTTTCCTGCCTTTTCTGTCAGAACTTGAATTTCATAATAATCAGCAGTTTATAGTGTGAAGCAGAAAATTTCATTGTTCATTGAAGATGACTGACAAAGAAGACTTGAGTGTTTCCACCAATCTAACATTTTTCCGTTTTTCAGGGGTTAAAGAATAACTGGCCACACACAGCATGTGACCGCCAAGAAGTACACAAACTGCACACTGTGAAATTACTATGTAGCAGCCACAAACAGAATTTCACCATCCAAAACACATCCTCGATAATGGCTAGAGAAGTAGCCAAAAGCGCTCAGAACAATTATAACTATGGACAATTTTTATATTCTTTAACCCCTGAAAAATGAAAAAAATGTTAGTTTGCTGGAAAAACTCAATAACAGATTAATTAAATCTTCCTTGTCAGATGTTTTCAATGAAAGATGCATAAAAGAAAGCTTACTGCCCAAATACACATCAGTATATATATATATATGTTACAAAAACGGGGCATATGATCCAGACAGAGTTGTAAGTTATTGACAGTTAGAAAACATATACTTTCATGAACATTTTCTAATTGTCAATAATATATATATATATATATATATATATATATATATATATATATATATATATATATATATTAATGGCTTCCCAAGCAAGGCAATAATGCCACTAGAATTCAGGGAGTGAAAGAGAATGGGAGGATTGAGGACAGGACAAAAAAAAAAAAAGATCAGGGTCCAAGGAAACAGTTGTTTATTGAAATTTTTGAAGATTGTAGTTATCAGGGAAGCAAGAAATCAGAAGGGATTTCCACGGGTGGGAAGTGTGAGAAAAGAAACTGTTAGAGTAAACGTGGTGGTTGCTACTAGCTAGTTCAATAGTAAGACTGTGAAATATCATAGCATGCTTAAATCCATATAGTTGAGGCACCAGAGAAATATACTCATCAGAACAGTTGCCATGAAAATATTTGTAGAAAAGACAAAGGATAGCCACTTCACGTTGGTGAGAAAGTGACTGAAGTCGAAATCAGGATTGATTACATTACAAACCCTTCTTTGGATTTTGTCAAGAATCAGGAGATGTACAGCAGGAACACTAGACCAGCAGTATTAAATGCACAGACAAATGGTAGATTTATAAATGTGCAAAATGGATTCTGATGAGAAAAATTGTCTGGCACAACACAGTGAACCCACTTTCCTTGCAATAGCTGCAGCAATTGATTCAATATAGTCACTCCACTTTATGTCAATGGATAATGTGAGGTCAAGAAGGCGTACAGTGTTGCTCTCCTGAAGTTTAGCATTAGCCATCCTGATGGCAAGCAGAAAGGTTCTTTGTGGGTGGTAATATATAAATAAATATATATTGTCTTTCAATTCGTCAAACGTACATTAATGAATTTAACCATGTTTAAGTGTGAAGATAAGTGTGATCAGAAAGGGACATCTTCATTAAATTTTTAAAAAAAATTATTTTAACTTTAACAATCTGAAGTGTTAAAAAAGGTATTCCTGAAACGCCTCTAATCTACTGTTTTACTGTAGTTTCATGATTTCTAAATGAACATGTCTGTATATCAAGTATTGTGCAAAATGGCTAACACGAACATGATTTTATTATGATTACTTTGTCTAGTTGAGTCTGGTACAAAGTTATAATAATGCAACATCTGTGAGACTTGAACTCCATATTTAACTCCCCCTCCATGTGGGTAGAATGTGACATGTGCTGAAAGACAAAATTGCTCAATCCTTTTGATCAGAGTCACAAAGGTTTAAGATTACTCCGGCTATCCCTTTTTCTGTAATTGGGAGGTAATGCTCTGCACTCAAAATCCCAAGGATTAGTGTTAATCTGCATGATGAATGTGCCATTGTATATGCCTAATAGAATCTTGTATGATTTAAATTGGGTAGTGTAATAGTTACCAGAACAGAAAGTGAATTCAGCGAGCTGAGTTCAAGTTTCCGTCTAGTCTGTTGTGTTCACTTTTGAACTGATGCCCTTGGGAAAGGCATAAATCCATTTCTTTTCTCTCCAGCTAGGGGTTAAATAGAATAGACTGGGCTCTCTAGACTTGATTGGCATCCAGTCTAAGAGAAGGAAAACTCTGGATTCCAAACTGTGGGGAAGTTAATGGAAAACACCCAAGAAGGTATGGCAATTCACAGATAATAAAAACAAAAGGAATGTTGTGGAGAGCTATGATTGCTTATGTCCTGAAGGGACTTGACATTAAGCTGAAGGTCATTAAAAAATTAAAATGTCATGAATAAGCCCATTTACAATCTGAATAAAAAAAAAAAAAAATGACATGCAGTTATTAAAAGAGCATTTGGCTTTCAGTAAATTTCAAATTTCTAATTGGCTTTTAAAATTGATGACATTGAATGTAAGGAATTAAGTTATTCTTCTTCACTGCTGAATATTATAGATACTTCTCCCCTCCCAGAATCTCTTTCATCCCCTTCTCCTCCATCCACCATGATCTCCTGATCAGTGTAACCTCATCCTGCCACCTCTTTTCTCCCAAGCACTGTAACTCAAGTCTCCAGTCATTGATGAACTTTCTCATTTTTGTTACTAGGATGATCCTTTTAGCCAAATTGGTGCTGATCCTTTTGAAAGTGCTTTTTCAAATTCGAGTAAAAAATCAAATGCTGACCCTTTCGCAGCGTTCAGTAGCCAAAACACCAAAACAAGTGTGCAGGTAAGTATAGCTAAATTGTAAAAACATTACCCAGGTGACTTCATTTAATACCTTTTCTAGAATCAGCTATTGACTCTATTTAGGATTATACTTTGGGTATACTTTAATAATACTAAGAAAGATATGTTAAAAAAAAAAAAAATGCTTATTACTTAAAGTTTGTCTCTAGATTTAAAAATTTGATAGTGATGTTCAAAAACAGAAACCATATCTGCAAATATTGTACTAACTTTTACATTAGTCAGCTAAACTTTTTTAAATTGGAAGAAAGTTTCTGAATGTTTTCTCCCACACTTAACTTACTCAGTAACCTTTTACTTTCTTCTAATCTAGTGATTTAGAAATGTATCAGTGGTAATGGTGATAGATACATAAGTATGTATGCGTTTTTTATATATATATATATATATATATATATATAAATCTCATGCATTGAGTGCTGGTGTTAATAAAATAGTGCTCACTGTAATATAACAGAACTATTAAGTATATATTAATGGATATATTATTAGTAGTAATCTTATAAGTATAAGAAATTATACTCATTTGGAAAACCTTGAGTGTTTTGATTTGCAAATTATCAAACCAATACCAAAGGGAAAAAAAAGGTATAAAAAAAGAAAGAACCAAGAATATGTACGCTAGTCGAAAATAATCATCTAGCATGCAAGTCCCAAAAAAAAAAGCCCTATTAATAAGTATACGTATTACCTCTCATCGCTAACATGACTCGAACTTTCATGCACAATGCAATCTTCAGGTGTTGAGTATGGACTTAATAGCTCTGTTATATTACATCAAACACCATTTTATTAACACCAGCACAATATGTGCAATATATATATATATATATATATATATATATATATATATATATATATATATATATTTTAAATTATATACTGGTTATTTTAATAGTGGTGTAGGCTGTATTATTTATGGGGATTGTTTTTTTTAGTTATGTTTATTTTAAATATATATAAAGTTTTTTGTTTTTTTGTTTAAACAATCCCTGGCTGCTCCACTCCAGTATATATATATATATATATATATATATATATATATATATATATATATATAAGAAATTAAATCATGTAACATCCTGTCTTATTCAGCACTTGAAGAATGCCTTGTGCAAAAAAAAAAATCAGTTCTGCTATCAGTGGAAAAAAAATAATGTATATTTGTTATTAATATATAATCTATAGGTCTGTTATTCTATATTAGACACTATTTTTTTAAAACCGGCACTCAATGTATGGTACATATATATCATAATTGTCATTTTAAATATATAATGTGTATGAAAACTTATAAAAAATAGCTGTTGATTAAGTAATAAGAGTATTTTAAAAAGAATATCTATATGATCAAAGTTAATTTACAAGTAGGATTTTGTCTTCAAACTTGAGGATTCATCATTAACTTTTATTGTTAGCATTCTGCTTAGAAGAATTGAAATTTTCTGTTTATTTTAGTTTTGAGAAATTTTCAGGAGGGTTATTTATTTATTTATTTATTTCAAAACAATACAAGACTATTCTTCAAAGTAGGACTCCTCTTACTTCAATGCTCTTGTTGTATTGCTCTTTCCTGCTGCATGGGGTCCTTGTCACAGCCTCTCATCTTCTCCACATCTTCAAAATATTAATCTGTAAGCAGTGTTGATCTTTTCAGAGTTTTCTGCAACATTTTTGCTGAGATTAACAAAAGAAAACTTTATCAGAAACCTTTGAAATGTTTATGGATTAACATTTTCATGAAGAGATGAGAGAGGCTGTGACAAGGACCTTGGACAGCCTGAATTTGAAGGATTATGAGGAAGGGTTTCAAGAATTGGCTGGAGCGCCACAACAAGATTATTGTAATGAAGTTGGATGGACCTACTTTAAGGAGATTATTGTTTTGAAATAAATAAATGCCTCACCCGAAAAAATATTCTTCAAACTTCTGGAGTGCACCTTGTAAAGTTCCCTGGCTGATAACTTTGATTGGTATCACTTGGGAATGTAACTCTTGAAGAACTATTTAAACAGTTTTAGGAACCACTTTCTTTATTTGGTCATTAAACAAGTCACCTGGAATATTTAGCAGGGTCAAGCATATTGGTTATTTTAATTATTTGTTATTAATAATGTAAAAAGCTGTCTTTTATTAAAAGAGATAAGGCACTAAATAGAATTAAATTTTCAAAATTGTCTTAGAGAAATCCCATTTTTTTTTTTTTTAATTTCTCAAATTTGTGATCCTAATACAAGTGGGTAGGGGAATTGTATGTCTTAACCTCTGTGGTGTTGTTAGTCCATTTATTATTGTGTTGCACATTGATGTGCATGTCTAAATTTGTTTCTTGTTAATGTTAAAGTATCTTGGTTCTGAAATGATTTTATCCTACTAACAATAACATTTAAAATTTGTTTTCTTTCTTTCATCTTGTTTAGTGTTTAAAGGTATTATTTCTTACTAATTACTATTTGAGCAAATCAGATGAAAGATTGAAATTTTTCATTTTGTATTATATATATATTTTGATAAAAGATATAACATTATTCACAATCTAAAAGATTAATTCAGTTTTATAGTTTTATCTTGTATAATATATCATCTGGAATTAATATAAGAAAAACTTCATTTTCTTTTTCAAATCCCAAACAAGTTAATTAATCTCAAAGGGGACAAAACTAATGATAACACATATTTTTAGAAGACATTTAAATTCCTATCATATGTTGATGTATATTTCTTAGAATGCTATCTTCTGCGTTTTGATAAAATTCTTAAAAAAACAAAAAGAAAATTGTTTTGTTGAATTTATAGTCAGAGCAATCATTGAGGAGTCATTAAAAATACATTTACTCAATCAGGAAAAATAATTTCTACTTCTTTATTGTGTGAATCACTGTCATTCTAGAGTCTGTCCTCATATTTGCATTCATATCTCTCTCTAGTCTGTTTTTCTGTTTCTACTAGATTCTCTGGTCTTTTTCCCCACTTCTCTAGTCTTTTTATTTCCCTTTCCCCCTTGGTCCTTTTTTTTTTCTTTTTCCCCCTTCTCTGGTCCTTTTTTTTTTTTTTTTTTTTCCCTTTGCTGGTCATTTTTTTTTTTTTCTTTTTCCCCTTTGCTGGTCATTTTTTTTTTTTTCTTTTTCCCCTTTGCTGGTCATTTTTTTTTCTTTTTCCCCTTTGCTGGTCCTTTTTTTTTCTTTTCCCCTTTGCTGGTCCTTTTTTTTTTTTTTTTCCCTTTGCTAGTCCTTTTTTTTTTTTTTTCCCTTGCTAGTCCTTTTTTTTTTTTTTTTTTCCCTTTGCTAGTCCTTTTTTTTTTTTTTTCCCTTTGCTGGTCCTTTTTTTTTTCTTTTTCCCCTTTGCTGGTCATTTTTTTTTTCTTTTTCCCCTTTTCTGGTCATTTTTTTTCCCCCTTTGCTGGTCCTTTTTTTTTTTCCCTTTGCTGGTCCTTTTTTTTTCCCCTTTGCTGGTCCTTTTTTTTTTCCCCTTTGCTGGTCCTTTTTTTTTTTCCCTTTGCTGGTCCTTTTTTTTTTCCCCCTTTGCTGGTCCTTTTTTTTTCCCCCTTTGCTGGTCCTTTTTTTTTTCCCCTTTGCTGGTCCTTTTTTTTTCTTTTTCTATTTTTCTGGTCTTTTTTTCCCCTTTTTCCTTTCCTAGTCTTTTTTTTTTTTTTTTACCCCCTTCTCTGATCTATTTTTTTTCCTTTTTTCTTATTTCTCTGGTTTTTCTTATTTTCTCTGTTCTTCTTTCTCCTCCTCTCTCTATCTTTACTTCTTAACCTTCTCTAGATTATTTTTCAATTCTCATTATCATCAGACTCTCATTTTCATTTAGACTGTAAACGCTCTCCTCTAGGCATCTGCATGGGTTTTAATTCCGTTTGTGCTTTTTTTTCTCCATGAGACGTTTGTCTGCCTGTTTTTACAATATTTGGTTTCACCTTGATATTTTTTTGTTAAAACTGTTTTTCACACATTCACTTTATATGTTCTGTTTTCTTTTTACTTCTTCTCTGTCTGCCATGTCTGTGTTTTCTTTTTATTCTTTTTTTTTTATCTTTAATCAGTTCAAATTCTTCTAATTTTATTTCTGGTGTTTTTCTTCTTTTTTTTTTTTGTTTTTGTTTTTGCTGGTTATTCACAAAATTGTGCTACTGATGCTGCTACATTGACTAAAACCAATTCATTATATCATTTTGTAACTGTTTTATGTGGACATTTAATCTGGGAATTGTTCCATTAACATCTTGTTGGATTTTTTCATAATGGTAAACTTGCTGTTTTAAAACCAATCTGAATTTCACACTGGCTCACATTTTTTTTTTAAATAATTTTAAAAAATTACTTAATGTTTTGTTTTTAATTAAGGAATATTTTTTTTGTTTTTTATATGAATAAAAATTTTGGAATAGTCTTTAATTCAACATTATATACTTTATTTTTATTTTATTAAAAAAAAAATTGTGGATGATAGTATTGAGATTTAGTAGAATTATTTTGAAATTATGAACAGTGAAAATTAATAGAAAAAATTTGTTATATGTTGAAAGTATTTTGTAAAATCATACCCATAATTTGTTCAGGTCAGATATTAAATTAAAGTTATGGAGAGAGAGAGAGAGAAGAGAATTAGGGTTTTGGAAGTTTCTTTCATATTTTCCAAATATTCTGACCTTTTCCACAAAAATTAAGGCAGTTTGAAATGTCACTCGGAAACATTTATGATTATATTTGCCAAATGTAAACAAATGATGTCACCTAATCGGGCCCATTGAGTAAACAAGTTAAAACATTATGATAAAAACAGCAAAGATGTGAATATACATCCAAACAATTCCATGATGATATTATTTGGTGATATTTTTTTTTTCTACTTTCCAAATCTACATCTTCTGCTTCTGAAGTGAGGTCTGGAATTAAAGTTGATTGTCTTTTATTTTTCTTGCTTGTTAAACTGTGCTCTGTACTAAAAGAAAAACAAAAACCTCTCGAGGCATCTTACATTCTCTTTTTGTTATGTACACAATTACCATGCTATTCTGCTTCCTTTTTCCTACAGGTTTTCTATCCTGTTTTTTTTTCATTTGTGTCCCTTTCATTTTCTTTTGCAATCACCAAAATAGCTAAACTGAAGGGAAGAATTATGCATGAAAGAATTTTTTTTTTTAAAAAGTTTTTGAAGTCAGGTGTTATGAAAGAAGTGTTCAAGTCTACCAAAAAAAAAAAAAAATAACAGAAAGCAAATGAAACAAAATAAAACACACACACACCTGTTGTTAGCTGATTGCTGGACCAGTTCTGGATTTGGTTGTAGCACAGTGCTTGCACTGAAAAGAATCTGTGACTTTTTAGATCTTCTTTCTCATCAGTTTTTGGGACATTTCTTCTAAGAACAGCCATCTATGCTAAATCCAAGATTAGCTCTCATCACTTGTCTAGTCTTGCTTTAAAGCCATTATTTAGGTGGATTTCTGATGACCCTTTGCTACATGACATTTATAACTTTAGGAACAGACCACGTGATCTCAAAAAGGCACCTCTATTCAGGTTTTGAATCAGACTTACATTTAACCATTATTAATGATTAAGTTTGAAAATAATCTTACATTTATATTTTTGATCTCATGATTAAAATAATTTTAGATTATTTACTTTCTTTTGTCTCTTATTTAATACAATATTAGTAGTTAGCATTTTTGCTGTCAGTTCTTGTAAGGTTATATAAGTATATAATTGGTGTATACAGAATGAATTCCAATAACCAACAATTACTATTCTTAAAAGAGTGCTCAATACAAAGTAGAGCAGATATAATTATTTTTTAAAAACATCATCACTTGATAAGACACAGAGGATGTTGAAACAAAATGGCTATTTTTGTAGTGATTTTATAACATATTTATGTTATTTAAAAAAATAATTATATATATAAAGTGGGTATTGAAGTCAATACGCAGAGGTGGCAGTCCATTTCATGCTAAATGTAATCATCAGGCTATACAATTACATTTACCATGAAACAGACTGTTGCCTCAATGTCCACTTTTATATTTTTATATTCTTTATCCCTGATACTGAGCATTTTAACCAATAAATATAGCATACCTTACAACTATATTTTGTCATTATTTATTTTTATATATATATATATATATATATATACACACACACACCCACCACATATAGGGAAAAGCGTCTTGTTAGCAAATTCTGACTTACTGTTTATAAAAACACATCTTTGACAATTTTTCGCATTTGATCATTTCTGTTCATGAAATATAACGTAAACAATAACAACGTATTATGAAATGGATTAAGACTGACAATTATTTAATATATTTTCTGTTTATTTGTTATTTTATATATAATTCATTGAAGTAAATGCTCTGTTTTTTAATTAAGCAGTATTAGATTTACCAACATGAATGTAAAGAAATTTTGTAGAAAATATGCGTTCTCTGATAGGAATCTAATCTGTCTCCCTTATGGGAACCGTCATATAGATGGAAGTGCTGTTACTATTCAGCCACAGAGAAGTGTCTGGTTAGCAAAGTCTGAGTTACTGTTTATAAACACACACCTTTGACAATTTTTCCCGATCAATCATTTCTGCTCAGAAAATGATTACTCCATTACTTGTTAATATTGCTTATGTTATGATAGTTTGAAAAAAATTGTTTATAAACAGTAATTCAGTCTTTGCTAATCAGACGTTTCTCTGTGGTTGAATGGTTAACAGCATGTCAGGTCAAACACACACACACACACACACATACACATTTATATAAATAGATTTCTAGTAATACAAAACTTTATAACAGCAAGGAACAATATTTGTTACTCAACCTAATCTTTCTTCCATTCGCAAAGATGTCCTTTCCTCTTATGTTAATTCTGTGATTTATAAATATGAATGTAGTTGTGGTCTCAACTACATAGGGAACATTTGGATTTTAGAATAAAAAAATTTTGAATCCAGACTCTAGCAGTAGTCATCTGATGAATACAGCCGGATCATCGATTGCTCAACATGTTATTAATAGCAGGAGCTGTGTTACAGGCTTTAGCATTGATCGTTTTTCAATTTTGCCTCGGTCACACTCATCATATCATCTTAAGGTTCTAGAGTCCCTGTATATCAGATCTACAAGCCTTCTCTCTTTAAACAGACGGATTGCTTGCTGGGTCTGAATATTATTAGTCTCTACTTTCCTTAAATTTTTTTTTTTCTCTCATTGTTCCATTTGATAAATTTATTTACACATTCTTTAAATCCCAGAATAAACTTGATAAGCTTGGACGAAACCGGTTGTTTTTTAGTTTTATTAATTTACATCAAATATGCTTTGTAATTTGAATAAGAAATTACATTTGTTCCTTGCTGTTATATATATATATATATATATATATATACATATATATATAATGTGTTTGAGAGAGAAAGAAAAATGTAAATATTAACTGTCTTATCTCTAAGATAGAATAGTAAAATTAGACCTATTGGTCTGAGGTTTAATTACTTAAAATTAATCAAATTAATTTTTAGCAAAGGTAAATGAGAATTTTTAGTAAAAGTATATAAAGAAATTAGAATAAGATGACACTGAATTTTTGATGACAAATGTATATAATTTTTTGTTTTTTACTTCCTAGTGGAGTTATTATTTTTCTTTAATTATTTACAATTTGTAGTTGATGTGTGGGTGGTGCAATGGATAGTGGCTTAGAATGAGAAATCAGAGAGCTGAGTTCATATCCCAGTTCATTACATTCACTTATGCCCAAATACTCTTGGGAAAGGCATAAATCCATTTCTTCTCCCATCTATAGGTTAAATAGTAGTTGTATCCATAAATATTGTTATGATTTAATATCTATGAGAATATTATATTTATATAAATATTATTATAGTTTTATGCCGATATGCAAAACCAATGTAAATGATATTGTTTTCTGAAGTTTTAACATTGTTTTTTTTATTATTCCATGTATTGTTTAAACAATGTTTTTATTTAAATTGTCAACATTTCAGCCAATACACTCCTCATGTGTATGTTGTCTCTGCTTTTTACAAGTTACTTAGTATTTTTGTTGCTGTTTTTCACCTATTCATCTTTACAACTAGAAAAGTGTCATGTGAATTGTAGAGCTTGAATATAACAAACTTTAAGTGGATTACTCAGAGGGTATTAATAACAATGGCATATATAGCCTCAGTTGTTTTTTGATGCCATTTTCATAGAAACTTTGTGTTTTTTGATCAAAGAAACTTGTGAGGTAGTTTTCAACTGACTGTACAGAATCAAATTTTTTAAGAAGTTCTGTCAGGAGAATGTGGTGTGTGCTAGCAGCTTTCCTATTTCGACTCTTTAAGCTTCTACAAAGACTCTTTTACAACATGCAGACTTGTGTTATTATAGAAAATGACGTCTTTTTAATTTGCGAAAGTTGGCTGTTTCTCTTGAATATCTGCATTGAGTTTGGTTGTAATATTTCTTGGCAGTCATTTCTTTTGCTGACTGGAACAAGCTCGGAGTGAATTATCCATCTGCAATGAACAGCAGCACCTTCATTGGATGTAGCCTACTTCAGCCATACGTTTGGCACCCTCACAAGCTTGTTTCCAGCTTTGTATCCAATGTTTTCATAAGTGATCCATTTTTTTATTGCCTGTGAAAATTTGGTCTAAGAACAGTTCCTTTTTGTGGCATAACCAGAAAGAAATCAGGAACAGGATCAAGCTTGTTCTGTTCGATAATGTTGCATCCACTTGTTGAGT